CTCTAGACACATAGGTGAACAAAAGTTGTACTACATTGTGACTGTAACTTTAACCGCGTGGCCCGTGACGAACGTGTGAAAATTGCCACACCGATTGGCCATAACACTTAGTACTCATATCTTCAGTACCCTGAACACGTCCTCACAACTTCAGTGTACATGGTCCAATCTCAATGAAACTTCACATATTTAATAAAAGTCCCGCCACACGTCTACATGACAATATTCAGATATAGTGATAGCGCCACCTACTGGCAACAGGAAATAAGCGCTGCAATGTGATTATGTGCATTTTTATGTTGTGGTCTGCACGTGTTACGACGGCACGTGACGCGGCCGCAGCACACCCTAAGTTGCGTGGAGTGCGAGGGCCCATTCAACGCTGCTTGCAGCTTTAATTTTAATTTAGAATGGAAAATATCTACATTAAACAAATGTACAAAAACTGTATCAGACCTCATCGTATTGGACTGAATTGTGCCATATTAAAATGCATCCACCCTGAATCATATCGTAGCCCATGTATCTAGATATGTATGGGATCGTCTTAGAAGGGAAAGATGCACACCCATAGGCCTTAAAGTCATTTTGTGTTGTCTTTTCAGACCTCACTCATATGTACTGTATGTGGTTCTGTGTTAAACCATTACCTTCAACATTATTATAGTAGACACATGACCTGGTGGAAACTTTTCCTCTGCACATGTGGACCTGAAAAAAAGATGATTCCATGGAATCCACAGCAAGGAATACATTGAAATCTGTAATACCACCATTTCATCTCCAAAAACAACTTTAGAAAACCAACTTTTTGTGTCTGACCTGCTACTTCTTACTACTTACTCACCCAAGATGGATTGCTTAGCATTTTGGATACTTTCTCAGCTCTCAGTTTACTGTTAGTGTTTAGAATCTTAACACGATAACTGAAAAGCATCAGTGAGCTGAGAGAAATTTGGAGGCCAAAAAATACTTCTCAGAATCTACATGTAGTCTTACAGCAGGAATAAAGCAATGTTGTCGTTCACTTACCTTGGCGTGGTTGCTTTCCTGACGCATAACTTCCTGGTTGATACACAGCTGCTCTCTTGATCCCAGCACACAAACCTTTGGCCTGAATCAGCAGGGAGAACTGCACTGTTACACTAATATGTGGGTTTAACAGAAATGGCCTAAAACTCACAACTCACCTCATCTGTGAAAAAGGTACTGCATTGAAAAAAGCCTTCTGAATATTTAGCTAGACCTAGACTTAACACTATAAAGCATTTGAGTCAATGTCAAACATTTTTAAGGTGGTTATGGGTCATTATAACAGCAGTGCTGGTATCCTGATTTTCAGTTTCGTCCTGGTGTAAATGTTGCAAAGTTATCTGATCTGATAATATTTGCTGCTGTCCACCATACACGTGAACATTCATCAGGCGTAACTAAAGAGTATTTCTTAAATCTTGTACTGCTAAGAAATTGCATTGTTTACCTGTATGAAGTGTTCTTTAACTCATTGATAACTTGTGCGAGCTGAGAGTGTGTCCTGGACGCATATATGATCTTGGGAACATCTGTGTAGTAGGCTGGAAGACAGGAAGGACACACAATAATTACATTTCATAGAGAGGGATGTTGTCATGTCAGTAGCAGTCACTCTCTTTTCTTTCTCTCAGAGAAAAACTGAACCAATTCTGTCCCTATGATATCCGTGCATTAGGGTTAAAGGCTTTTTCATTTTAATGGACCTTCTATGAAACACTTTAATGTAACATATTTTATTATTAAATGTAGGTTTGAATTATAGCTTACTGTTCTTAATACCTTTATTTTGGAAAACCGGAAGTGAATACGCTGTTTCTCCGCAATTACCATAATGCTGAGAATACTTGTACACTCGAAATTTAAGTGGGCTAATTTGACCACGGAGATCGGAGTCACGGCTGGATTGACTGCAGTTATCATATCACATATTATCTCGAGATCTCTGCTGCACTCTCTGCCATCTGATTTAAAACAGGTCGAATTACATCAACAAGCCGTTATTTATGATAGTCTTATCAACAGACAATGTGAAAACACATTAATAATACTCATATTTTAAGAACACAAGACACAGTTTTTGGAAGTAAAAGCAGAAATCATAGCCTACATAAATGATTTGATAAGAATATTTTCACAGATTCAGAATAAAAGAGTACGATAATTCATGTAGACTGATTTAATGAAAGTATGTTATTATGGTGACAGCAACCGCTTGTTGTGCGTATCTTGCGCGTATATTTTCGTGACACTGGGTTAGGCAGTGCTTGAAAATACGTTCTACGTTCAGTGCAGCAGTTTTAAA